GCGAGTCTCCACCATCCAAGAGCACAGGGCAGGAGGAAGGCGCGGGGTTAACAAGCCCGCCCGCGTGCCCGTCGTCGTCAGCGAGCAGCCTAAGCCCCAACCCAAGCCTAGGCGCGGACGCAAGCCCAAGCGCGGATAAGCAGAAACTTTGGCAAGTGGTTGGATCACGAACACTCACATTGGGAACGCTGTATCATCTCCTGTATTATGTGTAAATGCAATGTATTTTAGGTTGTTTTATCGAAGGAATATGTACACTCGTCATGCGGACATATGCAGCTACAGAACACACGCACTGGTATCCCGGTCGTGCATATACACGTCAAGCGTGGCGCCGTGCGTCTCGGACGCACGCGCTGTCCACCACACTTTGCAGTGCATAGTCTGCTCATTGGGCTACCCCCGCAATGCGTGCGCCCCAGACGCATGCGTCGTGCGCTGGGCGTCCCATTGTGTCCATGGCGTGCCTCGCCTGCACACCCGTGCTTCCTGGACGCACACATTTCAGACCTCTCCCGGGATGATACGTTCCATCGTCATTCATCTGTGTCCATGGGCAGTTGGCAGGCTCACCTTCGCCTCCGCCGTCACCTGAGTCAACTTTCATGAGACTTCGCTCCGAGGACTATACAGCTGGCAACCGCAACGCCTGCCTGCAAGACCGGCCCATCCTCTTGGACGTGTATTCTTCAATATCACCCGCCCTAGGTGCTCTAGTCGTCTGTCCAGGACAATCATATATTAAAGACATAATTCAATTGGCTAACCGTAAGGCACCAAGTACAGTAACATTTATCAGTAGGTAACCTATCAACTAACTAGCTAGGCAACTACGTTGAGTCCACGTCGGAATCTTCTTCAATCTCGTTGCTGGCTGCGCGCAGGGTAAAGTGCTTGTGGGCAAAGCGAGGATTGACGTATAAATGAGGTGCGCACACGCGTGGACCTTCAGGGAGTTGACGCCAAATCTTGCCTCTCTGCGGAGTGGTGGCCCAGATACGGTCAGAGGCGTAAGGAATCCATATGAAATCGTCAAACTTGCGCTTCAGTTCACGGCGGACAGTTGTGCGAGAATCAACGCCCAGTTGCGATACAATGACGGACCACTCGGACCTGTAGAGAACTGAGCCAAAGTTCTGTGTGGGGCCGGTACGAGCGGTAGGGTCCACGGGGAAGTAATTATCAAAGGCCTTGCCCCACATGGCGTTGTCGACAACGCGGTAGCAAGCATGCGTGAAAGGGAGCGCGGTAGTCTTGAACAAATCATCTGAAGCGAGGCGGCGCTCCTCATGGGTGAGGAGGAGATAGGATGGATCGCTCACGTCCTTTTTGTTCGGCGCCTTGCGGATGATATCGAGTGTAAATTGCGCCCACATAGTGGACACACGTACATCGAGTGAATTGAGAGCTGGCGCGTTGTCGTCATCATCGTTGTCGCTGACAATGTCTGGGCCTTGCATGGCAAGCTGTGGTCGGATGATGGCACCTCTCTCCGCAAGATGGAAGTCGACAGCGGCCACCTCGTCGACGTCGCGGATGACGGCTGCTTGGGTAGACATTGTGAATCGGTTTTGGATGCGGTGGACATTGGCCCGTCGCTGAGGGCGGGGTTGCTGGACTGGTGCGAAGAAAAGCTCGACTTCCAGGAGCATCTGGCAGCCATACATTTGCGAGATTGTCTCGGGACTCATGCCGCTGAGACGAGGAAGTCGGTACACATCTTTGTCAAAGACGACATCCGCGAGGAAATACAAACCCCGCGCGGCGCCAATGGGAGTGACTACGCCATCGGCGCTCATAACACGTTGAGAAGATGCGTCGCGGAGGATAGTCTCAAGCCTCTGGCTTGAGGGTCTATATATGAGGGCATTGATCATGTACACGGCATTAGCGCCAAGGGCGAGGGATTCCAACCAGCAGCGAGATGTGAAGGGCGCGGCCTCGAGATTTTCAATCACGTAGTTGAGGGCAGCCATGCGCAAAAATTTGAAGTGCCTGAGAATGAGTGAGAAAAGCACGGAGTGGAGGGCAGCAGATACCACTGACCACCAAGTTTGGTTCGGGATGCAAATAACAGCATGGCCAATTAGATCGTCCATGTTGCGAGTCATCGCGGTCAGAGCGTTAGCAATGGGAACGCGGACTTCAAAGCGGGCATGACCGTCCTGGGAGATGTCACCCGCTCGACATGAGGTGGTGCGGCAAGCAGCAAACGCTTCACCCATGATCGACATGCTACGGAGAAGAGCCTTGATTCCCTTAGGAAGGAGTGCAGCAGTGCGGATGCGGGCGAAAGAACCTAGCCACTGCTGGTAGGTGTTCGATTTATCTGTTGTGTAGACGTTGATGTACGATACTCCATCTGATCCGCAGTAACGGCCCGGGTCAACACGACATCCTGCAACGCCGTCAAGATGCGCGACGACATCAGAAGTGAACTTGCTTTTATTGCGCGATATGGCAGTCAAATGGTCAGGGTGGACGTCAGGGAGAGCGTAGGCGAGGATCCGAGAGTGCGCTACCGTTAACCAGGCAACGTTGAAACCAGCAATGCTGATCTCTACTGCGACGTCCACGCACCACTCAGCAGGTACGACACGGTCCATGTTCAGGATGCTGATGAACGACTCGAAGCGATCCCGGTGTGCGTCAACGTCCTCAAATTCGTGGCCGGTGGCATCCTTGGTTCCACGGAGCTCGTGCTCCCAGAATGCGCCTTTGAAAGTGGCATCTTGATCCATACGCTCGAGGAGTTGAGTCTCGAGTTCAACAAGGTCGGTATAGTTGACATCGAGAGTTTGGTAGTGGTAGTGACCACGTGCGTCCCGAGCGTGATTCATTGCACTGGAGTAGGAGATAGGCCAATGCGCGGCAGACACAGCGGACACATGCCGAATGCTTGGGAGGAGAATGGTGTCGTAGAACTTTGCATACGTAGCCTGGGTAATGGACCAGAGATGCTCTCCAGAGGCCCAGAGTGCAGGGAAGAACAAACGAGATTGGCCTCGGTGGCTCAATTTGCCGAATGCTATGTTAGGGATGCGCTGCAGAGGGACTTTAAGGGTGGCGCCCTGGATATACGCAGGTTAGTTGTTATAAGTAACAGATGCATAGAGATGATACGGACGTTGGCCATCGGCATCGCAAATTTGACGTGAGGGTTGTCGGAGGGCTGCATTGCCTCTCTGATTGGAGGAAAGCTGTACAGGTATAGTGTATCATTGAAAGGGAGAGAACGAGTGATGCCGATTAAAGAATCGTAGTCGCGCCGGATCGAATACTGATGAGGAAGCACAGTGTCGACATGTTGGCGAGCATTGACAAAAATACGCTTTTGTTCGGCGTGAGAGACGTCGCGCCCAGCCAATGCAAACCGTACAAAGTCGCTGACAGCGTCATCACTGTCCTCATTGGCTAGCACCTCTTGGGCTCTATCGACGAATTGCTGGATACTAAGCTGAGAGGATACGCAGGGCTCATGAGGATATTCCATGTTGCAGGAAGTGACAAGTCCGTAGTTGGATGGGATCGGTGATTATATAGGTTAGGTTAGGTTGCAGGGGAGATGAGGCAGAGGGGAGCGGAACAGCTGATTGGAGCAGTCGGAGACTAGGATGTCTCAATACATACATTTGAAACACGCTAAACCTAGCGCCAGGTGTGTCCGATAGCGCGTACGGTGGGGCTCCCGCGCGACGAACGCAGGCACTGAGAGAATGAGCGTCACATAGTGGTGCGCGGCGAGGTCCGCCCGGATGTGGATGGGGTAAGCGTGCACGCGATGTGCTACTGGCAAGGCATGCGTCCGCGACGCACGCATGGGGTGACAGAGTGAGGGTGGGGA